TCTTCTTTTAATGTTGAGGTGCTCGTACTTTTAGTAAAGAAAATCATTTTCCCAACTCATTTTCTTCTTTTAATGTTGAGGTGCTCGTACTTTTAGTAATGAAAACCATCTTCCCAACTCATTTTTCGTCTTTTAATGTTGAGGCGCTCCTACCCCCCTCTCGCCTTGTCTTGTCTTGTCGCCTTGTCTCGTCTCTTGTCTTCGCTTCTCTTCTCTTTTCGTTCTCGTTCTCCTTCTCTTCTCTTCCCCCTCTTCGTCTTTTTCAAGCAGGCCATGCATTGGCGCACAGTCGCGCGTGTGTAGAAACACGTATAACAACCTTGGTTTTTCCACGCGTTTTGCGGGAACTCGCTGCCAATTGGGTTCTATATCGCTTACACTGTCACGGCGTTATTCTAGGCAATGGCTCTTACACGACTTCGTTCTGACACCGCAACCTGTGCACCTTCCAAGTCATGTCGCGCACAAGCCCCTTGCAACCATTTCCTCGCGACTTTTTTTCGCTTACATGTCGCTTTTGCAGAAGCTCTGTGTTACACACGCGCTCTCTGCAAGTACTGTTCGCTGCCCACTCGCTTTTACACCAGCGCAGCTTTTCTTTTTGGCCAGTTGCTCTCCACTTACATGGCTCTTACACTACTTCGTTTTGACGCCGCACCTCATTGACACAAACATCTCCAGCCAGCGTGCATGTTCCAAGTCATATCGCGCACAAACCCCTTGTTTTCACGCACTTTGATATCGTACACTCTGTTAGCAACCTTTGCATAACCTGCACACAAAAAAACACAATAGCTACACACAGCTACACACGCCCGGGCCATGGCGACCGGCCGTGCGGGCTCGAGCTGATGGCCGGCGGCATGCCGAAGGCTGTAAATATTTGTTATATATGCTTACATGCATGTGCTTGCTCTTGGTTGGAACCTATATGCTTGCGAGTGATCAAGGCAGGCATCGCTGCTCACAGCTCGTCACAGCAATCTACAATATGCGAGTGACATCTGGTAACCTGCAGCCATTCCCATCCATTCCCACCTGGGGCATGACCTGCGTATCTGGCGCTTTGGGTGCAGCCCCACAGTTCGGGTGGCCCAGAATCCCACAGCGCATGCACCGCACGTGAGAGAAGTCCGCCAGGCGCATTGTGGCCAATGTTGGGCAGGACACCGGCGCGTGGCCGCGCAGCTGACCTCAGAGGTGTCCCAGCTAAACAGCTTTCATCAGGTACAGCTAAACAGCTGCTTCATGAACAGTTGGGCCGTCTTGCGGGCTGCATGCTGCGCCTTCTGAAATCCAAGTTTGATAGAAGAATTTAACATCTCAGCAGGCTACAGTGACTGCATCTCAAGGCCTTGTGTGGGCCTCAGCAAAGCGAATGACAACTGGCACAGACCATAGTGTTCAGCTCCCCCTTCGTTGAAATTGGATACACAAGGTCTTCTGTCTAATACATGCGTAGACTTCAACTGGTCCACAAAAACAACACTGCCTTCCAAAAACCATGTGGTCCGGGCAGTCTCTGCTTTCGTGGCCCTTCTTGGAGCAGAAGAAGCCTTGATGATTGGACAGAGACAACCGCTGAAGATAGTGGGATCCAACTGTAAACACCAAGAGCCCAGCGGATCACAAATGGCTTGCAGTCAAGCTTCCTAACTAGAGTGTCATGCTTAAACTAGAGCGTCCCCGGCCACTCTCAGGCATTATTTATTTTGTGTGTCTGTGCCATTGCGATCGTGTTCATGTAAAATCTGCATGTATGGCATCAAAAATACACAAAATGCCTGACACAAAGAATAGTCTCTGTGAAAGTGTTCAGCTCTTTTTCGGTACTTCTTTTTGCAAGCAACAGCCCTTGTCCGGGCAGTCATTTGCATCATGGCCAGTCTCCGCACAGGCCCAGCAAGCCTGTCGATACCAGTTGGCGGGAAGCCATAGGATTATTCTACACGCAAGCAATGTATGCAAACAGAGCTACGTTTGCCAGAGAAATGCTCAATCTGCCAGGATACTATCGCATGCCACTGTAATTGTGAATACTTTTTCTCAAAGTCTGTCCTTCCCACTGTTCCTGCCTGCTGCTTCTCCTGACCAAAGTAGCGCCCTCCTCCCGTAAGGCCTTTGCGATCCTGCAGAAATTGGTGGAACACCAGCCTGATGTCTAGCCCAAATGCTTTGAGAATTGGCATGCACATGGCATACATCATGGGGCTTGGAAACTCGCCTATTCCGCTCCCTGTGGACTCATGTTTCTCTCCTTGGGCGTCAGAGCCCCGATATGCTGCTGCACATATCGGCTGAAGAGCGGATATAGCTCAGCCAGTTCATCATCGGAGTCTGACTCCTGGAGCTATTACTTTTTTGAGAAAGAGCTGTTTGGAAAGATGCTTAATCTAGTAATCTAGTTTCAAAACCACTGCTTTTTGATCGGTTACCTGTTGTTCTGAGGATAGATGTTGGTCTTTTTCAAAAAAAGAAGACAAGAACGAAAAAACCTTGCAAAAAACAAAACACGAAAAGCACGTGATATTTTGTCAGCAGCAAGCCATTGGAGCATTCCTGTCCTCTAGATCGCCAAGGTCAATGTCCTGAAAAAGCGGGCTAACTGAACTCAGCTCAAAATGCACCTGCAGGTCTATTTGGTGAAGTCACAACTGGCTGAGTCACTACTGCTTGGGACTACGGTCAAAAGGCGCAGAGGGATGGTGAGAAAAATGGAGATGAGATGGAGTGAAGACAGGTGAGTCAAGGCTAGCAGCTAGGCATAGGCGAAAGAAGAAATGATACAAAAGGTCAATATTGCACATCTTAAGATCGCAAGGTTCCTCTCAACTCGTCAATATCCTGCCCAGAAGAGGATGGGTCGCGTCGGCGAAATATGTTTTGGACAGCAAAAAGGTTTCTTGTTTGGAGAAAGTACGTTTCGAGCTTCTTGTCGAGCAGTAACCCGGAAGAGCGGCAAGCAGCCATCGAGACTGCGTTGCAAGAAGTATTCACTTGGTGCAAGGCAAGGAGTGCACCCTTTTGATATTGTATTGCGCAAGTTGTTTGGATCGTAAAAAGTTTGCGTCTGTTGGTCAATAAACAAATGTTGATTTCACGAAGGCACGAAGTTTGCCTTGGCTCGTCAAATCTGTCGGTAATTTATCTTGGCTATTGTACCCTGGTCGGGGTGATGACCAGAAACGCTAAGTCCAGATATGGCATCTGGGCATTCGGGACTGCGTTCACAACGTTTGCGAGAGGTCCTGGAGGTGCAGCGAAAAAAAGACTTGGCAAAAGATCAAGCAAAATACGATGCAAAGATGAATCACCTTTCTTCTGACCCAAGACACACCTGACCTGACCAAGCAGGAATATTTACAGTTGCTGCACAATCAGCAAGAAAATGAAAGGGAAAACCCCAAAAAGAAAAGCAAAGGCTGACAAAGAACAAATGAAACGCCACAGACTTCAGGAAGCCCAACAGAACCCGCCCGCCCGAAGGTGCCGTACGTGATTTGCAAGCACGCGTTACTTGTATCCGGAAGCACTCGCAGGAACTATATGCTTTTCAGCGTGGAGGGAAGGTGTTTGTTTCGGTACATTATGAGTGTTTGATGTTTTCCTGCGTTAAAAAAAATATATGCCCTAACATTTGCACAACATAGCCCAACATAGGCTCTGATGATGCTAAATATGCGTGTTGGGTGACAATGCATTGTTAGCATTGCGCGATGGTTTCTGGACCCTTCCCTTCAAAGAGGAAGACAGAAGGTGACCTCATCACGTAGTGAATACAAGTGGATGAAAGAGGATGCATTTCGTCGGTGCGGGAATCATTTTGCTTGAAACCTATCAACAATGCTCGGCTTGACGGTATGGCAATAGACCTGCCCCCCGCGTTGTAATGGCAACGCTCAGGTGTAACCCGGACGAACGCTTCAATGCCAGACAACGGCTTCAAGTGACACAGAATTGACACAATTGAGCTTCAGGATAAATGAGTCAGAAGGCGCAAATCAACTCAAGAGCAATGAGGTGAGGCAAAAAAACGGCGAACCAATCATATGAGATTTAGTCTCCTACAGCGCGTATCATCCTGCTTGTAGCTTAGTCTGTTCAGGTTTGACCCCCAATCCGACTAGCATGAAAGGCGTAAGGGCCTTGTGGGTACTATGGTCAAAAATGGAACACACCGTCTCTCATGAACCTGCTGCACTTGCTGCTGCACTTAGTCCGCCCGTCCTCTGGATGAGCGAAAGGGCAGGCTGGGGCATCGTGGCCAAAAAGCCCACAAGTGCTGCACGCTGCCTGCATGTGTGTTCTTGATGATGATTGCACAAGAGGGTTCTTGTCCTATGACATGATTGAACATGTCATTGAGCCGTCTGCAGCCACACAGCCTCACAGCTATCCTTTCTTGGAAGAATTTGTCACCAAAAACCGGTGCGGCCAAAAGACAATAAACATAATACGCACATCATAATAACACTTGGCAGCATCAGTTGTGTAGTTACACTAAAAGCGCACGTCGTACGCTTTACGTGTTGCAACTCGTGGAAGTTTCGCACGTGGAAAGCGTTTCCTTTTGACTCGTTGAGTTTCGCATCTTTGCGTGGAGTTTGTGATGTTTGGGGGTAACAAACGTATGTGCGACTGTTGTCCGACTAAGTTGCTTGGTTTGCATTGGTTGGAAGCGAGATGATGCGAGTACTCTAGAACCAAATGGCAATAAAGGTCACCAAACGTCACCAATCTTTTGAGCGCTGTCGAAAGTCAGCAAGCACAAATGCACAAGCACTATACGCACTCAAGAAACAGGACCATAGAGCTTCCCAATGGACACGATTCTGTCGCTAGCACAAAAGGTGCCTCTGGTTTGGAATCGGCTTCTGCCGCCTCACCTGTTTCCTGCAGTCGCTTTGGTCAATGCACTCATCATTTTGAATTGGCACGATAGATGAGCGGAGAGCAAAGAGGGGGGCAAAGCGTGGAGGAACATCTTGTCGGTTCACCTTCTAGGCCCTAGGCTGAAAGAAAACTCAGACAGGCCAATCCCGTGGCCTCATCAGGTTTCTTTTCATCGGTCTCTGGCACCTGGAAAACAAAAAGCACAAAGACAAATGGTCGATTGCTGATTTCCGCACGATCGCCCTCACAAGTTCATGCTTTCCCTGGAGTGGCGCAAATGTGCTCATTGCAAGCGGTTTATCTAAGATAATTATGTCTCTAGTCGGAGGAAAGCCGTGGAAAGCTGATGGAAAGCAAAGACCAAGTCGTTCGCCTCTGCTGCACTTGCCAAGCCCTCGCCGTCGTTGGACTTGGCGCTGTCTGTCATCAGCGCCTGAGAGCAAATCAGATACAAACACACAGGATCTTAAGGGTCTTGAGCGCACATTGAACTCATATGGTTGGTAAGCAACGACAGGCGCCTCTCCAGCAGCATCAATTGTAAAAAGCAGCTCTTCCTCAGCCTTCAAAGAACAAGGGCTCAAAGGAGATTCTGTCAAGATAGTGAGTAGAATCACAAATCAACGCAACCGCAAGGCAACATTGAGTCTCGCAGGCTAAGGTTAGATGTCATAGGGTGAACAAGGAACAAAAGTTCCTAAATGTGTGCATCGCTACCAGGAGCAAGAAGCTACTAGTAACAAGCATCGCTGCTAATCGCTTCTTGTTCCTAAATTTTTGCAACTGCACCCTATCAGCGCTCCATTGCGCTGCCCTCCAGGATGTGGCAGTCGATTTGAGGGAGATGTGCAAAGCAACAACCAAAGGCAGCTCCTATGCTTATATGAAAACGACCACGAAGAACAACTGAGAGGGCATCAGAAAGACCATGGCCTGGAAGAACAACAATATATATATATATACAAAACACATGTAATTAATGCCCCATGGCAAGCTCGAATAGAATCCAATTATTGCCTACCTCTGCGGCGTCGTTGGTGAGCTCTATTCCAGCAGGGTCTTCGGTGATGGACAACTCGACCTTTCACGCATCCGTCCACTCGGTGCGTCCAAGCTGAAGCGAAAAGCAACACAGAATCGAAAGAAACGGTGCGGCGAAACTCCTCCTCGGCATCAGCTTCGGCAGCTTCAGCCGCTTCTGCAACTTCAGCTGTTTCTGCTTCGCTGGGGGCAACCTGCATTGTCACCTGAGAAAGAATGACTACGGCTAGGGCAGCTGCAGCGTTTAACTGCTTAACAGTTAAACATGCTCTAACTAACTACCTGGCACAGGCAATCATTTTCTTGAGCAGGGTTTGCGACTGACACTCTACCACAAGATACAACAATATTGTGTACTATAGTATAGTGATGACGTATCAAACCGACAAGAGTTGCATGTGGCCCGTCTCGTGATTGTGCACAATACAAGAAAGCATGGCACTATTCGCGCCATCCGCCTTTGCATCAGCTTCGACGGCTTCGGCGGCTTGAGCTGATTCTGCCTTGTTGGAGGAAGCCTGCGGTGTGTATGGCAACTGAAGGCCTGCATCGTCTACTGCACTTTCTTCTGCTGTCTGTCATTCCGTGGAAGTCCTATTGTGTCATATCGCTGTAGAGTTTTACA